CCATTATGCTATTCCAAGTGCTTAATGATTCTTACAGGCAGCAAAGGGGAAATACCTGTTCTCAGTAACAGTCTTGGAACTGCTTTTGTTTCATAGAAATATAGACATAATACTTCCTACAGGCCTTCTAGTTACAAAGAGCTTTTACTTTACATAGAAAGTATGTAAGTTAAAAAATTTCATATGTTTGTTTTCTTGGTTTTTGGTTGAGGGTTTTTTTTTGTTTGCGAGGCTTTGGAATAAGAGTTTTTGTACAACAATGTATTGCACCGTTGTGACCTATTTTGCTGTATAGCTTATTCAGTATACAAAAATATTCGCTTTTTCATTTTATTTGTGTTAGGCATTTTCATTTGGTGTTTGTGCTCACTGTCCATAAACTCTGACACCTTGTAAAAGTCCCAGACCTGAAAATTGAAAATGCCCTAACTTTTGATTTCATACATTTCTTCCAGTGTTAAGCTATTGAATCCCTAGAAATTGAATACAAAAATACCTTGAGAGGATTGCTTATGTAGCACACTCTGAATTACTGCTCTTTGAAACCACAACTTTTACCTTTACAGGGTTGAATTTTCTTGGTTTGCAGCTTGCTAAAACACAAGGAACAGATTAAGCATAAAAGGAAAATGTAACAATAGAAAGGAGGTGTAGGAAGAATTCTGGACTCAAAACTTTGTTCTAACTACATTTAGGTCAGTCTTTTCAGTTTGTTTGGGCTTTTTAATTTATTCCACATAGTTATTTGTCAAGACCCAACTGGAGTATCCAGCTTCATTCAGTAATTTCTATGATACAAAGCTTTGACCAGATATAGTCTCTGGAGGTCTGTTGATTTCCAAAAATAGTGATTGAAGAATGGCATTCATAGTGGAAATATTTTTACCTTTTAAAAACCCAATTGCATAGAGCTTAAGTATTATCAAATAATTCTCTGTCTCCAGAGAAACACAGATAGCAGTTAAATTTCTTTGGAGCAACACATCATCTTTTTCCATCTTCCTACTGTGGAGCTATTTGAATGAGAACGTAATTTAGTGAAGCCCTGCAATAATTTGTCATAGCTGCCGTGCTACTTTACTCAATTGCACATGATGGCAAAGGGTTCTTTTGAAGTGTTCATGATATCTGAGTGAGAACTATTTTTTATATTCCTTATATTTAGTTATCATCTTCTTCTGGAAAGCGCTTGTAAGCAGAATTTTCAGCTCTCCCAGTTGAAGTTTCTTGGTGAATGTGTGTCAGTTTAAAGAAAAGCAGCATAACTTTCAAAAACACTAAGCAGTCACTTCATCTGAACAGTTTTCTTGAACTTCCTTTGGAATTTTTTAAGCCTATATGCTGTTTATAAAATGAGCTTTTTAACATCAATTGCCAATAGTTTAGGAGTTGATTCTAAGCATCCCTAAATGGAAACTCTGGAAGCTTCCATATTACAGACAAAAGACAAATATTTACTATCAACATAATATGCATAGAATATTATGGAGGGTTTTTTTATTAATTTTATATATATATATAAAATATGTATAGGTAGTTAGGAGTTGAAAGAATTCTATAGCTCTTGTTTTAAAGGCTTCTTTTTGTTTTGCTTCCTTCAATACCCAGGTGATAGTGACAGAAACCGAGTGACAATATGTTACCTGTGGCAGTAGATGAAGCCTCCAGCTAGTGAAGATTACTGCATGTTTTTTATATGTGTGGTCACTGCAGAGCTGAGGCTTTGGGCTTGAGGGTAATGAGATCGGGAGCAGTGGTAGCAGCTCTCTGCACTGGCTACCTGGACCCAGTGGCAGATAATTATCCAAAGTGAAGTTTAGCTGAATCTGCATTTGCAAAGCATTGCTTTGGTTGTACTGGAGCAAACAGCAGGGCTAGCATATTATCGCAACTGTTATGGAACACAGAACGGTTCAAGAAAAACAAAGAAAAAGCAAAGCAGTCTAAGGAATTGTTTAGAACTTTCATGTATTTCTTAACTTCTACTCCTGTCTCAAGACCTACGCAGAGATTTTGATTGCTGGTCTTATCTGTTCATCAAGTGGGCAACACAGCATGCTCCCCAATTCTGTAGAATAATCATGGGGAAAAGTCCACAGGTTCATATTGAATTTCCTATATAGATTCTTCTGAAAACTATCATTTATACCTCTGGAAATGAATTGAAGTTTTGGGTTTAGGTTTGGGGTTTTTTTATTATTTTATCCTTTCATATTCCTCTCTTTCTCCCAGATTTTATTTGCTTCCTTATTTCTGTCTCTCCAGTGTGATTATGTGCCTTGCTTAGAGATTGTAGGTAACTCACAGAAAATAGGCACAATTCTGAAGTGTTTTGTATGTTGGGGTTTTTTTTTAAGTAGTTTTCTGTTAGTAATTTAATTTCAGGTTTTCTGTTAAGTGGCTGCTGGCAGGCTTATGTGGGGGAGGGATGGGAGCTGTCAGTGGATGAGCTGTTAATTTTCCAGTGGCTTTGAGCTTCTTTCCCAATGCTAGGGAGCAGTGCTTTGAAGAAAAAATTTTTTCTATTCAGCTATGTTTTGCAGTCTGGACGTTCTAAAGATAAGAAGCACGTGTTACCCTGTGTAAACTAGGAAATATATCACTTTAGGTAAGCTTTTGTTTGCAATTGGTTTTCTGAGCATACCATTTCTGAAGGTAGCTGTACTGCTGAGGACTGTTCATGTCATCAAGTGTCATGGTAGCTCAATGGATGTGAGACACCAGAGCTACTTCCAGTCTGATTAAAGGCTTAAGCAGCAGAAATGGAAAACTGTTAATTGCATAAAATATTTATTGATAAATATCTGCTGCATCTTTTCTCTGAATGATTTATTTTAAAGGCACAATAAGAGCAAGACTATGCTACTATATAGGTATTTTCATATTCAGTAACTCATCTGGAGAAGCTGGAATGATGTCAGGGATAAGGGGGAAATTCTGGGAAAAGAACTTTTCCTGGAGATATCTGCAATGTCTTGAATTATATCCTTCCCACAGGCTGACAGCTGCAAGCACCAGGCACAAAGTTCTCAACAGAGCAGCACATTTAACAGTTTACTTTGGGGGATAGTATTAATAAGTGAATTATCATTTTACCTTCATATAGTCATAGAGTATTGAGGGCTCCCCAGTGACAATTTAATATATCTAAATGTCTTCAGAAGGTTTTATTAGCTTCTTAAGTAGTTAGAAACCAAAGGGGCAATATCCATTCCTTGGACATGAAAGTAGCCGGCATGAGCTATGAGGGTAGTCTTCAGTTCTTCTGTATTCAGTTTGTCCTACTGATGGAGGGATTTTTCCTGGGACCTGAAATAACCCCCAAATGTAGCTGGTTAATATGCAAAAGGTCAACAGACAACTGATGTCCAAAATGTGGACATTTGGAGCCTGTTTTGGGAATGTTGATGTAGGAAAGCTCTAGTTTGAGCATTAATTTCTTGGAGTTTTTAAGGTGCTGGACAAACTTGTGTCTTTCTCACAAAAGAAGAGGAGGATGGTGTCCAGCACATGGTGAGCTGGAGGGATCTTTCTCCATCTGTAAAAGCAAATGATCACTATACTCGCTGCTCTGATCCTCACCAGTGCTGAGTGCCTGGATACTTTTGCTTTCTTTTGAAGACAAGGGAGTAAAATTGTCACCCTGTATCTCACAGTGGCTTTTGACTATCAAAATCTGTCCCTATAGTCAAAAGGAGATGCTCACAGTACGCTAGTTCTGTTAAGACGATCAAGCAAAAGTTTCAAGAAGGAACACTGATCTATGCTTTTGTGAAGTTCGATGCCAAACCTTAGACATATGAATCCACATTTAAAACTGCAAGGCTTTCATCCACATCAGTGGATACAGCACCCAGAATTACCACCAGTGGAGCTTTTCCTTGTTAGCAGTTAAAGTTGCATTGGAGCAATGTTCCAACAAGCCCTGCATCTGCCAACAGTGGAAGATTCTGTCTAAGTTCACACTCATTTTAGAAAAAAATCCCCCACACATTTTGAAGCAGCAGTCCTTTTGTTTTTCTGAACACTTGCAGTTCTGATATCAATCAATTCTTCTTATATTCTTTCTCACATCAGAAGGATTTGGATTCTTCAGCTTTAGTGTTTTGTTTTGCACCCTCGTGAACTCAGAATTCACCTTGCTTGATATAGCACCCGTAGTAGGAACATGGGGAAAAAAGTACATGAGAACTATGGTGGACATGGTCTGGCAGTTACCAAATCAGACTGCCAAAGAGTCAAAGGCATGGTTAGTTGATCTGTTTTCTGGCTGCTTCTCCTCTTCACTGTGGCCACCTGGGTACTTCAGAGAGAGCAGATGAGAAATGAGTCCTTTTAATATCAATAAGACTTTGGCTCCTGTATGACATTAAGCAGTTATGCTTTCCTGAATTGAGATGTCTCTTCCTGCCTTCTCAGGTCATGGGGACAAAATAGTGGTTCTTTACTTCCCAATAGCATTCTTAATAATTTCTGAAGTTAATTCTTAATGATTTTTCTCTTAACGTGCAAATGATGGCGCAGAGCACATGTTAGGTATAACACAGTCACATGTGCTGATACCTAGAAGGCGAGGAGATTTTGAGATTTATGCTTCTCTCTAGCTTAAGAATTCTTGTTTGCATAAACCTTGTTTTTACGCTACCGAGCAGATGTATTCCTTTGTTTACACAAACTGGCTGTTAGCTGGTATAAGAGAGAGAAGAACCACAGTCATCTTAATGCTGACAGGTTTGTTAGTACTAGAAGAAACAGATGTCATGGAAAAGATTAGAAGGGGGAAAAACTGAGTATTGCAATTAGTAGATCAGTTCCAAAAAGTGAAGAAAAACGGTTCATTGTGCATTTTGAGCATAAAGTTTTACTTTTCCTGATGTATAAAACATCAGCTGGTTTCAGTCCAGTATCAGAATGCTTACACAATAAGACAGTCCTAATTGGTCATTTCAGTTTAAATTGGCTGGAGTTATGATGTTAATTGAATTGTTTTCCCTTTGCAGGGACCTCAGGGGCCTCCAGGACAAAAGGTATAGTATAAACAACAATACTGTGAAAGTGATTATTCCTCCTAGTGCCAAATTGAAAGCAGAAGAGGTGAATGGGATTAGCTACTGTACACTGCATTGAATTAGTTAGTTTAGGTTCTGAATTTTGTTTTTGCAAAATGCAGCTATATGATGTGAGACATCAGATTTCTCATTTCCCCCATCATAGGAAGTTCAAGCAATGCAGAGCAGACTGTTTTCAATCTGTCTGCTTAACTTTCAGGTGAAAAGGTCACCATAATTTTCATGCGCTGGTACGATTAGGAAACCAAAGTTAAAACGTTGTGAAAAGTGGGAAGATAAAGTTTCTGATTAAATGCACACCCTTACTCAAGTAGATCAGTGCCATATGACTAAAGAATTGACCAGCAGAAACAAAGGACATAGGTGTTGCTGATAAATGGTGCTTGGTTAGCGGTGTTCAGGTGGTCTGTTGGTGTCTTCCTGTTCCTTCGGTAACCGGAGACCTGACTTCCTGGGAATGCTTTCAGCATTATTTACACTCATTAAAGCTGATTGCCTCAGTTTGATTGAGTGAGTTTAGGATTTATGGAATTGCACCATTAAAACCATCCTCAAAATATCACATACCACCAAGGCGAGTAATTTTCTACTTGATTTCAAAAGATATTTGAAAAGATATTTATGAAATATATTTACTAAAATGAAAGATATTTAATAAATGAAGGATATTTAATTAAATGGGCTTAATTTCTATAAAAAAAAGAAGAGGCAAAGAATAAGTAGTATTGAGATGTGAGAAGGATAATGTTCTTTAGAGTGAAGGTTTGCTTATGTCTGTTAAAATGGAACATTTTTAATAAAACAAAGAAAAACCTGTGACATGTGAAAATGTAATCCCAAAGCATACAAATTGGTGGAATTTTGGCAGCTGTGAGTTTGTACAGAGTTCGCAGACTGAAGGAGAGGACTGCCTTTCATGTTTGGCAATGCAAGAATGTGGCATTTTTAAGTCTTACTGATGTCTAAATTGTCATTATAAAATTATACCATAATACTCTGTGAGTAGGATATTTTGCATGTACAGCATCAGCAAAACCCATGCCCTGATGAACTTTTGAATACCTGATAAACTTTTACTTGACACAGTAAAATCAGCTTTATTTACATTTTTTAACATTCTGTGTTTCATAAGGAAAATCATCTGCTGTCACTGAGAGGAGGAACTGTTATAAATAGGATAGTTTATTGAGGCTGATGGTTTAATGCCCTCCTGAGCTTTGCCTTCTGGTTTTCTGGAAAAATTATACACAGATGTGAAAATGTTCATTAGGACCTCTTTGCAGTGCCTAAAAGTCATAACCATGCATCCAGCAAAAAGAGACAACAAGGATGCCAGAGTGGAAGCTTTGGGAGAAAGGGGAGAGCATTCTGGGTCATGGAGATATGCTGGGATGCAGTGTATCATTTTTTACTTATTTAAAGCTCTGTTACTAGCTGTTGGAGGTTTTTTGAGATCCTAATGAGTTGATTCCTTTTCTTATTTCACAGGATTTCCCAACTCTATTCGTTGACAACCGTGTACATCCATTTTCGATTCATTCCCTTTTGGGTGTTGGTGCCCTTTGACTAAACCATTTCTAGTGAAACCTCTAACCAATATGAATAGAGGGGGAAATGCCATGCACCATTTCTTTCAGTTTCCTTGCTAAGCAGCACCATTTTCATATAAAAAGAGGAGAATTCTGTGTAAGCATGTCCAGTTTTCCTGCTTTCCTTATGTGTCATGTTTTTTCTGAACTTCTGTACCAAGTCGCACAAGGTCCTTCAAAAAAAGTGTCCATTACACAGGAACTTATAGTGTGAGAGCTTTGTAAACAAGATTCCTCCAATATTATAAGTCAAGGTCATTATTTTATTTTTCTTCTTTTTTCCTTGTGTTAGGCCTGTACTGACTTAAAAATTTTAATTTCAATAGTACTGATGCAATTTAAAAATGTATCTGTAATTTGCACTGTCAGGCTTAATCACTGCAGATTGTCTCTTAAAAGCCTTAGGATAGATTGGTGCCACCAGTTATTGAGCTTGAAGTGTCCCTGTAGAAGCATTAATAGTTTTGTTCAGGTGCTATGTTTAATTGCATAGGATCAGTCTCAAAATTTATCGAGAGCATTAAATGGAGTTGCATTTTAATTCTTACATTTCTTGTGAAGCATCCACAACATTACAAAGCAACCATCACCTTGAAGCTTGTTTCTGGAAGAGACTAGAGTCATTAAAGTGTACGACATGAGACTATGTCTAATTAATATAAAATCTCAACTGAAAAGAGAGGTCAGCTTGGATAAAAATTAGTTTTTGAAAAATTTATTGCAGCTACAATAGGCAAGCATTCACCATTAATTCTAAGTACTGTTTTAAGAGATGAAAGATTTCATTACCTGTTTAATTTGCTATACAGTGGTGTCTGTTTTCCTCCAGGGTTCCATTGGAGTGCCTGGTGTTCCAGGGAGAGATGGACAAGTGGTGAGTTCTCTTTGACTTTTGTCAGCACTGCCATTATTTATGTAGTGGATTAAAGCAATTTCGGGCTTGTTCACATGGGCAATATGCAACCTTGCATTCAGAGCTGTGGTTTCAAATTAGCTTCGTGGAAAGGTCTATACAGTCTGGTTTGTCCTCTGAAATGATTTTTTTCTAGTTGTACCTCAACAAGCAGCAAATGTAATTAATTAAGTTGAAAGTCTGATGTTCAGATTTGATGACGACTGATAGGTTCCAGAAAGAAATGCATTTAGTAGTGTTTTACTTTAGACAGCATATTTACAAACTAATGGTTTTTTTACTTTTGATTAACTCAGTCCCATGATGCAAACACTTATGTTTATATTGGGTATTTATACAGTGCTGATACATTGTAGTACAACCTATAAATAGAGAATAAAAAGAGACTGGAAACACAGGTGGAGAATAATGTGAAATTGAATTTTGGGGGGAAAATTGCAGAGAAATAAATCAAACAGAAATGTTCTTGAACACAACTGGGAGGAAATGCTTACTCTGGCAAGACACTGTCTTCTCTTAGTGCCATCACCAAGTAAACTCATAGTTCAGAACAGGCCTCCATAAGGAGAGGTCACAATAAAGCAGCAGGGCTATTTTCACAGCATTGCTAAGGTTTCTTGGCAGATCTGGGTGATGAAGTTTAAATAGTATCCCTCCCTGACTGTAAACAGTATTATCCATCTGTTGTTCTCACAAGCACTAACGTTCCTAGTGAACTTTAAAAGCACTGGCAGGGGATGCCAAAAGGAAAATGCATGATATATATTTTCAACAGGTTTAAGCAGCAATAGATGATAGTGTATAAGGGTCATATTAGACAATCCTGTCTTCTGCTCCCTCACCAGGAGCCCTAGGAATAAAAGTGCTAAGATGTTTCAAATAATTTAGTTTTAATTCTTCTTTTATTAAAAAAAAGTGTCTTTCTAGTAGCATAATACATAGTATTAGACTTGTGTTTTGATAGTGATTATAAGAAATTATATAATAATCAGTTATTTCACTTCACTGATAGTGATAGGAATTTATTTTTAAACTATTCAGGGTATTATGACTAATATGGAAGAACAAAATAAAAAATATTTAGAATCAGCAACACATATGTCATACAAAAATATATAAGAAAATGATATGAAACAAATGTGCATTAAGACCTCAGATTTTTTCCTTCATATTTTATAGCTGTATTCAATTGCAACATGGATGGTAGACAGTGCTTACCAACTCAGATGCTGTTGATGTACATAGTTCAAGTAATTTTTGTGGCCAAAGTCTGAGTGAAAAGCCAGTGTAGTATGATTTTCTTTGGGTGTGCAGGAAGATGTAAGAAGACTGGATAGGGTGAAGTTGAAAATCACATTGAATAGAACAGACCTGATGATTCAAGAGCTTTATTTTTAATGGGAATCACACAAACTCCAGCCAGAAATCTTTACTCAGGTGAGCACAAAAAGTGGATATGGAGGGAATGTGTCAAATGTGCAATTAACGTGTCATTTGGGGAAGATGGAATTTTTTTAAGCTGTATAGCAAGGCTGTTGCATGTCTATTTTTAGGAGACCAGAAAGACTTACCTGCAGTCATGTTTCAGGGGGAAGAACAGAAATACACAATTGCACATTATGGGAAGATGCAAACACATCTTTAAATGTTGATTATTAACTTTAAATTGTGCTTTAAAACCAGCTCCTAACGTTTTCAATTTATGGGTTTATGTTTATTTGATCTACTTCAACATTCACAGCATCTAAAGCTTTGAAGACATTTTTAAATTATTACCACTATATTAAAGATATTAGTGTGTTCTTAGTGTAGCTGGACTATTTTATTTTTGACCTTAAAGGAAAAAAAAATTATTAGATGACCTAGGTACCAGGACAAAAGCCATACAGAATAAAAGGAATTGCTGTTACGTTTTTTAGTTTGATTTCTCAACTGTTGGTTCATATTGACTAGAAAGCACTTCCTTATGTGCAGAAAATGTATTATTTTCCTATAATACTAAGCAGATGAAAGTTGAACGTTGCTATCTCTTTTAATCAATAGATAAAAAAATTCTGTTAGCTTGGAAATAGTGGTAGAAATAAAGGTAAACTGAAAAACTGTTCTTCTAAAGTTAGAAAGTATAATGCAGTCTAGGACTCCCATGTTAATATTTTGCTACCAAAAGGTCCATTCTTCCAATTTCTATGAAGAAACAGATTCTCGGTGCAGCGTGACACAGAAGATATTGTTGAAGGAAGACCAGAGTAGTCATTTTGAGAGTTGGGCTGTACTATGAGCCAGCTGCTGGCATTCCTGGCTTTACTCATACAGATTCATGTTCATTTGAAAAATAGATGAATTCAACTTGACTGTGTGATGCAAGTCATCCCCTTTTTAGAAGTTGCGTAGTTAAAAGACTTTACAAAAGCCTTACTGTCTTGGTTGCCTTTTAATCAGAGAACTTGCTCTGTTAAACAACAGCATGTGCAGTGCACTAAGTTCCAAGTTAATATTTTTTCTTAGTTTAAAAGGCAATGAGTGTTAAGCACATGCTTAAAATTAAATGTGTGAATGCTTGTCTCATCTGGACAATGAAATATTTTTCAGCCGATGAATGTCAGCAGTGAATTAGCTTTGCTCTCTCCTTAAACAGGTGAACAATACTGTAGTGGGTTGACCCTGGCCAGATGCCAGGTACCCACTAAAGCCGCTTGCTCACTCTCCCTCTGCCGCTCTGTTTCTCTCTCTGTTTCTGCCACTGCTCAGGGAGAGGAGTCCTTCCCCTGCTCCTGTGGGGTTCCTCCCGTGGGAGTCAGTCCTTGATGGACATCTCCAACATGAGTCCATCCCTCGGGCAGCAGCTCTTCCCAAACTGCTGTCTCATGGGTCACTTCTCCATGGGGTGCAGTCCCTCATGAATGAGCTGTACTGATGTGGGTCCCCCATTGGGGCCACAAGTCCTACCTGGAAAAACCTGCTCCAATGTGGGCTTCCCTCTCCATGGGCCGCAGCTCTCTGGCAGAACCCCACTCCATCCTGGGCCTCCCACGGGGTCACAGCTTCTTTGATGCATCCACCTGCTCCACCATGGGCTCCTCCATGGGCTGCAGGTGGGTCTCTGCACCCCGATGGTCCCCCATGGGCTGCAGGGGCACAGCTACTCCACCATGGGCTGCACCACGGGCTGCAGGGGCCTCAGCTCTGGTGCCTGGAGCACCTTCTGCCCCTCCTTCTGCTCTGACCTTGGTGTCTACGTTGTTATTCCCATGTTCTCACTCTGCTCTTCCCTGGCTGGAATTTTCTTCTGCGCAACAATCTTTTGTTGTTAAACATGTTATCACAGAGGCGTTACTATTACTTCTAATTGGCTTGGCCTTGGCCAGTGGCAGGAAGTCCATCCGGGAGCCGGCTGGCATTGGCTCCATGGGACAGGGGAAGCTTCTAGCAGCTTCTAACAGAAGCCACCGCTGTAGCCCCCCCTGCTACCAAAACCCAGCCACAGAAACCCAGTACAAATACAGTCATCTTCTCTGTGTCTTCATAATTTTCCTTTTCCCTTCACCTCTTCTTTAATTGAAACAGTGGATTATGGGAGTTGATTGACAAGTCTGACCAATAGGTCTGGGAATGAGATCATAAATTCTGAGTGCACTTAGAACAGTTTTCTAATCCCTTAACATATGAACCACTTTGCTTAGACAATCTCTAGATATTAGAGTAAGTGTAATTTTATACGACCCACATGTTTTTGCAGGACGTTAGCTAGTAGATTTTTCTTGTATTCGGAGTAGCTAAACCATTGCCATAAAAATTTCACACATTTTTTTCTTCTAGGCAAAACCCAGTGAAACATTACAGGTGGTCTTGCAAGGGCATTTACAGTTTTCATTTGTTCCTACATTTGGGAATCTATAGCCAGCTTATCTTGCTGAGAACAGTAACTGTTGTTGAGAACTGTTGAGAAGAGCAAGGAGCTGCCTAATAATATCTGCAGCTGGAGAGAGTATTGTTCCTGGGATGGACTGAAACCTTCTGAGATAGCAAGGAGAGTCTTTCTGAGTGCTGCCTTTCCTTTGTAAACTGTTGTGCAATCCACCTTAGCAGGTTGCTTTCTAGCAAGATGCTACAGCAGATAAACTTCCCTTTCTCAGTCCCTGGCAAGAGGTCCTCAGGCCCTCGAATAGCATGAAAAAGCATTAGTCCTGCATGGAGATAAGAGGTTAGACCTAGGGATATCAGATCCCTACATTAATCATGTTGTAATAGCCACAAAGGGCTTCTTGGAAAATTCAACTGTGTAAGTGTAGAATATATACTCTAGTATTTGCTAAGTGGTACTGATTTGATAAGGACTCTCAGAGACTGCAGCAGCAGCAACACAGGGAGAAAAGTGGAGATTCCTTAAGTCAGGATTGCATTTGGCCTGAAGGAACCCAGTTTCTGGAGTCTGTGCAACTAAGTCTCTTTCTTATAAATAGGAGTTTGTGCAGAGTGCATAAACCCCTCCCTGTATACTTCCGTAGATTGCTTTTTCTTACATAGTACTTGATATTTTGGTAGGGTTTTTTGTAAGAGTGTATTGAGAACAGAATGTGTGGTCAGGATAGATCCCTTCATTTCAAATTCTTTCAGTAGATTGACAATAGCAATTTGATAAACCTCAGAAGAATCTTCCTTCTTGTCAGTAGATTCAGAGTTTGGGTATGCACATTTTTTACTGCTTTCTTCATGCTTCTTATTTCTTAAATTTAGATGTATTTTCCTATTACTGTGTACAGTACTGTGTAGGGAACACATTTTGAAGGTAGCAGTATCACATTTCTTTAGAGAAATAAGGCAGGGTATACACATACTAACATTTTTTCAACTAAAGGAAGGAAACATCATAAATGTAGTTCACAAATTCTCAGACAGGTTTGCAGGCCAGCTGAGTCTTGTTGAAGAGCCTTTCCACTTAATTTCAGCTGGTGAGTGGGCCA